TTATATACAATGTTAATATACTATTAAGTATTACTATTTTTGTATTGCATAGGTGAAACCTAACGATAGTATGGTACCACCTAACCACCCACAACTTACCCCTTAAAAAGGTGTGACCGTTGTCACACCTTCCTTTATACCGTGTTCATCGCCACTGATGGACAATATTTTTATAATTTATGTAACGAAAACTCCATAAACACATACTGGTTAGGTATTTGCTTATGATTTATAAATAATATTTTAATTAAAAACTTCTACGACGTGTTGGTGCATAGATATATGTTATTTTTTGTTCTGGGGGGAGTTTGAACCCGGAGAACCCCTCTCCCCCGTAAATACACCAATGAGTTATAGTTAGGTTAGATATAACAAAACTACAAATTTGAAGTACATATTTCAGTGCTGAAAAAATATAAAAATCTACTCAAAACTTATTTCTGTTTTTTTTTTTTTTTTTAAATATTTATCCTATCAATAAAGAATTATTATACAGTATCTATACACGAGATATCACATGAGTTTATGTACTATTTTAAAATATTTCAGCATTAATGACATTTTTATTAAACCATTTTTAATTTTTTTTATATTACTCTCATTTTTAGAATGGTGTATATTATATAATATTTTATAAAAAATACAATGATGTTGGTTTATGACTTGAAATAAAATTAAATGGGTAGAAACATAAAAGTAATTTATTGAAATTTAAGTTATGAAACTAAAAAATAAATAATTCAAAATATTTTAAATTATATTTATGATAATTGTTTATAGTTTTTTTAATAGTCTAAAGGTAGATGATTTATATTACACTTAATATTATATGTTTTAGTTATATATAATACTTAATAAGTATTAACTATTTAATTATATAGTAATAAACTAATAAATAATGTGTATTCTACATAATGAAATATTTCTAACATAGATAAGTAACAATGCTACCTATTGTTGAAATATCAAAGAGAAAAAAAGATAAATTTATATTAACCTCAAGTTTTGTTTCACATTATTTATATAATTATTTACATTTATTTATTGTATCATTAATTCATTAAGATACACGCGTATGCTAAATATGCAAACCCTATAAATTGTGATTATCTACTTATCATTCGTGTCGAGTTTACATTAGACGTATACTGTCTTTATATCATCAGCTTATTATACGTGTAAATAATATGTAAAGTATAGGCGTATAACTAACAATTTATTCGTATAAATTCAAGAAACAACTCAATACAGTACCTACCTATAAAAAAACATTTTTAAAATTAAAAAATATCAAACGGGAATACATTTTTTTTTTTTAATTATATAATATAAGCATAGAAAGATTAATAATTATTATCACTGATCTTAAAATACCTGAATACAACTCACATACTGATTTAATATTTATTTTTTAATTCTTTGCTTATAATTAAATTGTGAACTGAAAAAAATTGGTTAATTTATTTTAAAGTTTGACGTAAATATACTAATATCATATAATAATTAATATATTGACAGTTTTAATCGCTCATAATTCATAAATGGATTTTTACTTAGAATAATTACCAGCCTGAATTACCTAATTCTTTCAATAAAAGGTCTCTCCAAATCTATGATTTGACACTTGACATTCACCGAACTCAATTTAAATTAACAATACCTACATAAGTATAAAAATTGTTTATTATCCTACTGTAACTTATTCGTATTAATTAACATTTTAAATTGTTTTAATTTTTAACACCGTGTATATTATAAGACTTAATATTCAATATTGTTGTGTATAAGAATATTTTAAATATCAATAACGTTTTTTTTTTTTTTAATTATTTTTATTGTATGAATTATTTTTGAACAAATATATAGATTTATTAAAATAATTATTTTTATATCACTTAATGATTGTGTGAAAATTCTAGTTAAAATTTTTATTTATTTATTATAATTAAAATGCTTCAGCACATTAGGGGCTATTACAAGTACAAGTTCAAATTATAATTGTATCAAAATTATGTAAAATATATAATTAAATAACATACTTGAATCAACGGAAACGCCATATTGAAAATTTAAATCTATTTACTTTCATTTTTATTATTACTTTTATTTTTTATCTTTAAAATACCTAACAAATTTAAATCTATATTCTAAAAAATAGATATAGATTCTTGTAAATCTATTTTATATTTTTTTAAAACTATTTTATCTTATAACCCTTAATATAAACATTTTAATAGCTGTAAAACTACTTAAATTTTAAACTAGACACATCATTTTTTTTCTTTTTAATTATCCACTAAATGATTTGCAATAAAAAAGGGGGTTCTCATTTGAAGAACAGAAGTTTGTATCGCCGTAGAATACTTGTTATGGAGCCTAAAACAATCTCAAGAATTTGAAAATATAGTTTTTAAGAATATTTAAAAGCTTGAAAAATCAAATTTTGAATAAATAAATTAGTAAATGAAAAAATTGAGATGAACATGCTTGGTTAATTATTTTAAATAATTATAGATGTTTTCATACATTTTATTTATAGAACATTAAAATGTTTCGTCATTATTACATTAAATTATTACAATTAGGTAACAAATTTAAAATTCTAGGGGAGACAAGGGCTCCGTCTTAACCCCTCCCCGGGGACGCCCATGAATATAGTGCATAAGATATCTTCGAAAATTGGGCTATAGGCACACTAGTGTATTCAATCGGGTACATGCAAATAAACGAATAATTTAGGTTCACATTGTAATTCCATTCTACAATATTACTCATATCCTTAGTTATTATAACGTTGTATAAATATTAAAAACTAAATAAAAATAGCACAATTTTGTATGGAAAAGTTGGAGTTTGGCCGCTAGGGTTAAAACACTTTTTAAGTATGTTTATGGTAAAATTAATGGTATGTTTATGTTATTTCATGAAACACCAAGGTGTAATTTATACACTTACCAAATAAAAACAATAAATCAAATCATTTATGAATTAATTAAACATTATAAAGATCCCTCGTGATTATTCACTTACATTGTGTACATGAGAAGTAAATAATAGGATAAAATGAAATTTCTGGGGCGTGTAAACTAGTCGGTATCGTTATATGTTAACGATAACAAGTACGACGATTAGATTGATTATTTTATTAAACAATAAACAAAATAACAACAATGATTCACACGGCCAGTATTATTACTTTAACAAGTTTAACAATTATGTATCGATACACAAAGGTATATCGTAAATTCATAATTGATGTATGAACATAATGTCCTTGTTCCTACTCACAATACTATTATATTATGAATAGTACACACATTGTTTTATTTAAAATTACACTAGAAACAATTTTGCAATAACAAATAATTGGTTTTTCATTTTCCACGTTTAAATTTTAGACAGTTAATAAATTAACATTATTTTTAAAATATTGTTAATATAATAGCATATAAAATGTATAGCACATTGATATTCTTGTAAGTTGTAGGTTTTATATTGTTTTTATTTTCGTTTATTCATATAGAAATTATTGTAATATCCTTTTTAAATTTTTATTTTGTCCTAAATGTATATGTGTCTACTAAAAATATTTTAAACCTAAAATATTTTATTTTTTCTTGAGTGTGATCAATACCTTTTAATATTAAAATAACAATTGTGTTAACATGAACCATTTACAATCTGGGATTAGTTAATCGTAATCAAGAGACAAGATAATGTTGTAGTTTTTGCGACAACGATGCGCAATCAATAATATTCGATACTTTTCAATATTTCTATAATAATATGTTGTTGTATGTTACCTGTTTATATGTATATACATAATATGTCTGGTATGTACATGTGTGTGTCAAATTAATACGTGTAATACACTATCGTCGGTCAACGGTGGTACCATCGTCTGGGGAGGGATTGACAATCGCGTTAAACCCCTAATTCAAAAGGATTAAAAATATTTTTTTTTACTCTCCGTGATAATTATTCACGTGCACACGCCATACAAGACATGGTATATAAATATTATTTTTACAATTATTTACAAGTAATGACATGCATATTATAACTATCGTTCATTTCTGTTTATTTTAATATAATTTATATGTATGATCCGTTTTGAATGGCACAACTAAGGCTCTCTTGAAAAAAAAAATGATTAATTATGAAATGATTATTTTTTTGTTATTCTTGTCTTTTAAATGTATAAATAAATTCATATTAATAATATCTAGATGTCAAAAAAAAAAAATTGGTTTAGTAATATTACAATGCAGATGTATAGAATTTTGTGCACACCATTTCTATGATAAGATGGTTTGGCTCACGCATTACGCAATAATGTTGCGTAAATTAGTTTCGCTCAGAATCTAAAAATGCCGATGGCATGTATATGGTGAGAGGGGGCTCTCGCGAGTTATTTGAACGTAGCAAGGTAAAATTTTTAGTGAGGGGTACGGCGCCGTTCCCTCTCTTGGACTTTACCCTATTCGCACCCACGTGACCGTTGGTTCGCAATCGGTACGCAATCCTATTAATTATTATGCACACACGTTGCCGCATTGCCGACGTGTGTACGAGAATAAAACGGTTTACCGCATGGTTTTCTTTGGGAACGACAGATGAGGAGACCGATGTCGAAAAAAATAATGAACGGTTTTTTTTTATTTGATAAAAAAAAACTGCTGCGGAACGTCAATCGCTCGCGCTTCATTAGGCCCTCGGCGGCGGGGTCGTCGTCGCGCGCGCCTCATCGAAGAACGCCGCCGCCGCCCGACACCCACCACCACCACCACCGCCGCCACCGCCGCCGCCCACCGTAACAAGAGACCCCGTCGTCACCACCCTGACAAAAGCCGGGACGGCGCTTGCGTTGGTGGTCCCACCGAGGCAGTCTCGGGGCCCGCGCCCGGTCGATACGCGCACTCCCGCGATCGGTGGCGGCGACGGTGGTGGGTTACGCGCGCACACACCGACACCCGCACACCGACGAGCGCGGTGACTGTGCGCCGCGTATACATGCAGAGCACCAGCGGCAGCAGCACCAGCAGGAGGTGTTCTCTCTGTTGCTCGGTGTGGTGGTGGTGGTGGTGCTTCGTGTTCGGTTCGCGCGCGCCGACAGACGACACATCTCCACGGCCGACGGACAGCGACGGACGTGGGCCCCGCCGGCGCGAAATGGGCCGTGTTCTCTTGTAGCGAGACCGCTGCCGCTGCCGCCGCCGCCGCCGAGTAGACGCCGCCGACAACCGGTGAGTAATACGAGCACGCGACTATTTTTATTTTGTTTTATGATATTTATGATAAATAATAATATGTTTATCGCTATATTAAGACCGTCGTCGTGACGGACATTAATAACAATAATTATTTTATTATTATATTATGTCGTCGAGGTATACGAAATTATTATTATTATTATTATTATCGTCCCGCCGAAATACCGTGGTCGCGACGTGAACAGATGACACCACCGCCACCGCGGTCGTGTGCTCGGTCTTTACGTTATCAGCTGCGATTGGTTATTATTTTTACCAAACTCCTGTTTTTGTTGTTATTACTTATTAGTTCTCGGATAGTTAAAAAAAAAAAACCGCAACGGTCAATATGCATATAACATTGCCGCGAACTAAACGTTTATTTCATTTATTTCTCAGACCTAACGTTCTTCTAGTTCAGGCGGATTATAGGACGATGAAATATGGTATATACTGTGTACATATTATATAGGTGGTATGAGGTACGCGAAATAGTGTAACACCTACACATTTATTTGTCACGTTTTAGTCTCACGCATATGCTGTAATTATTGAGTAATTTTATATAATAATAAAAATACAATTGATGTATGATATTAATCCTGTGTATACGATTTACATATACATGTAGTTAGTTGTAACTTTAAATTTTAATATTAAATTACACTTATTGTTGTGTACACAAAATCATGTATTATTTATCGGAGAAATAATGTTAGAAATATTTAAATCCGTTAATAATGTTTTATTTTTCAGGCGTATTTACTATAAATAAGTTTTGATAATATACTAATATAGTATAATTGAATATATATGTATCATAATTATACGATATTAAGTTTTACCTGATATAGTCAAGGGGTAAATTTTTTTGTACCTTTATCTTGTATAAAATCAAAAAATACAATATGTATTTTTAACTGGTACCGACCAAAAATTATTTATTATGAAATTTGACTTATTGTAACACCATACAATTCTTAACGAGAACAAATTTTATTAAAACAATACATTTTTTTAAATATTATTATTACAATATGCTACTATAATACGTACAATATCTACAACAAGAATAGTTACACGCTATAATATATATATATATATATATCATACACTTTTTAAATAAATGAAATCTTGTTAAACCTTTAATATTGTTACAATGATGAATGATATCATGCACTATAATCACTTTTCTAAAAAATAAATACATTTTCAAGCATAACTAAATATTTTTAGATTGTTTTTTAAATATTTTAATTATATAACATTTGCTTATTTCAAGAACTATGAAATTTATTTATTACGTTGTATTTATACAATAGTCTCGTAAATTATAACAAAAATATTTTAACCTTTCATAAATCATAAATAACAGAATAGATATAAATTTTTTAAATACGGTTAATCAAGGTTTGGTTACTTATTAAAAAAGGCCTCTCTTGATTTACTTCACTATGTTACATAGAAAAAAAATGTCAAATATAATTTTACATAAAATATGTTTTATTTGTATTTAAAAAAAAAACTTTAATAAAATTGCATTATTCAAAAACATGTTTACAAATCTATTCTATTAATGTAAATTAATTGTTCTGTACATAACTTTATATAGTAATTTAAACCTCAATATGGATAGATAGTGTTTAAAAAATTAAGTTTTTTTCTTAACGTTTTATTAATGAAGATAAAAATAAATATGGGACTAACTTTTAAATATTATATTTTAAATTATTACGGAAATATGCATTCATTTATACCTCATTTACTACTATTTTTATTATAATTTAGTATAGTTGAACAATATCTATTGAATTGTAGACAAATTAAAATAACTATTTTAAAATTCATTTTTTTTTTTTTTTATTCCTTCAAGTAAAAATATTTTTCAAAACACAATTCAATATGAATTAATTTATAATCTATGCATAATAAATTTAAACTTTATACTATAAATTATATGTGTATTATATAAGCTACCTTTCATTTTGTACGTTGTCTACCAAATTTCCGGTCGACCCCCATAACACATTGCAAAATCAATATTAAAATAAAATCAAATAATATTCTTGAAAAAAATAAAAATATATTCGAGAAAATCCCATTGAAAATACGATATTATTGGGAATTTGGTGTATTATTAAACTATTCTGACTTTATTGAATATGATCATAATTGATTGCAAAATATTTTTGTTAAGTAATAATAATTGTTCTTCATTTTTAAGTCTAATTCATGTTTATGATTTGTTATTTTTTTAAATATATATTCATACTGTAATTTTAGGTATTTAGGTTGCAAGATTAAATGCTAATAATATCATTATATTCTAACTATAATTCAAATTTTAATAATCTCACGTTTTTGACATTTAATTTAAAAAATTTAAAATGTTTGAATCATTATACTTGAATATTAATTATTATATTTTATCTTTTTATCTATAAAATTTAAAATACAAATTGCATATAATTCAAATTTTTAATGGTGACTAAAATGAGACGAAGATAGGTATATATAATAGAATAGTTAATTAAAATACTGGCTAAAGGTGCATGTATAATCTACACGAATAACACATATAGGACGTAAGTACTTACAATATGATATCTACCTACTTCAAATTATATTTTATTTAGGAATTCGTATTATTAATTATTTTAAATAATTAAAAACATGATTACCCCCAAAAATATATGGTTTATTATACTAATTAATAATGTTTTCCTGTTATCTTGATGAATTTCTACTTCAAGTATAATTAACTTATTTCATAAGTACAATCACGTACAACACACTCAATTTACATTATTTATAGTGCTTGAAGTTATTCGTATACATTATAATTTATTGTAACTTTGTCAGCAGTCAAAAAAATAAAATTTTTATACTAAATTTACTTAATTATCAATTTTGATTTGACTTAAAAACGAATTCATTTTTTACCCGTATTATAAGTATATGCGCTTGTTTAGAATGATAACTAAATTTCTAAATTAGTTGAAATTTAGTCAACAATGCGCAATGTGGATAGCGGATGCAAATAATTTGTTTCTGTACGAAATAATTAAACTTAATATGTTATTTATTAATATATGTACATGATGACAATAATATAAAACATATAATCTATATTTAAAATTGAGAACAAAGTAAAATCTTAAGAAATTCTTCATGCACAATATTGTAGTTTACTCAATTGTAATTGTTTGTTATTAATTTTTTTTTACCTCTTATATTATTATCATTTATAATCCTTAAGAACTTATAATACACTCTCATCATTATAGAGACGAAAGTTTAATGAAAAGTTAAGTATCTTATATTATGCCATTCATTTATTATATATTATGTTATAAATGCACAATTTAATTTAATTGACATTATTGTTCTATATTTAAGAAGAGTAAAAAAAAATAAAATTCAATAACATTTTAATGACTATTAAACTTTAAGTGAAGGAAACATTAAATATCAAACTAAAAATGTAGCCCATATATTACGTTAAGTCATTATACGTAATTTACATTCTTCATTTTTAACTTAATGCATGTTCATTTTCAAATTTAAATAAATATTTTATTCTACAAATGCCTAATGAGTATTTTTTTTACAGATAAAATTCTTATAAATATATATTTAAAAAAAAACTATAGAAACAAAAATAATATAATTATGTTTATTAAAAAAATATATAATTTGAAAATAAAAACGTTGAGAATTTTCCTGCTTACTATCAAAAAAAAAAAAAAAAGATAATACAGATGGAAAGTATTTAAATGATGTATGTTATTATTTATTAATGTACATTGTACACCTACTATCCTTCTATATAGTTGTGTATATTAAATATAATTATATAACATGTATGTAGTTTATTCCTATTTCATACAGAAATAAAGAGGGTCCTTATTGGAAAAACAGAAGTTTATATTTTACAAAGGACACTCTTTAGATACCTAATACAAAAGTTTGAATAACTTAAAAACATGACCCTTAAGTATATTTAAACGTTCCAAAAATCAAAATTTGAATTGATCCATTATTAAATTTAAAAAAATGGGGTTTATTATAGTGAATTACCCTATATACAAAAATAATATTGTAAAAATCAATAAAAAAAAATCAATTTTAAAATAATGTGTACTATAATGACCACAGCTACCAAATTGTTTTTTTGATAATAATTTTAAAAAAAACCTCATGATAAACATTTTACACTTAATTGTCCTCGACAGATTGTAAAAACTTTAAAAGATATGATAAACTTTACTATAACAATTCAATTATTATACATTTCTAGCAAACTAAAAGCTCGTTTTGAACTTGCGTATTGTTAACTTTGATTTTCCGGTGATGCATTGCTGCATTGACCATGGCATAAAACAACTTATAATTGGAGAATATATATAAATAAATATACCATGATTTGGTATTTTATTATATTTACTTTCTTCCGGATTCCAATTAAAATATTGTCGGCAAAGTATTAAAAATGTTTCTTTTGGCTGCGTTACGAGATTATAACTCGTTAACTGTACAAAATTCTAAGTGCTGTACATTTATTTTATTTTTTTTGTGTATGTATCCTCTTGTAATAATATATGTGCGTAATGCGCTTGACACTAAAGCTACAATTCCTACAATGTGTACAATATTTACACATTCATCATTAAATTTATAAAACAACGAAATATTTTACAAAACAATATAATACGGGTATGTGAAGGATCTGTTTTATATTTTTTGCTCGCTATTGTGAGTAGAATGTAGATACATTCATTTTGTCTGTCTCTGACACTATAATCTCCAATAAATGTTCACTCGTCATACCTAATTAGCACAAATGCCGACAGTGCGTTATTAATGAACAAAAAAAAATGTGCCATATTTAATTCAAAAATCCCAATTTTGATGCAATGCAGTGTATACATAGAATATAGAATGTATTAAATCGAAACACGTTTAAGTTCCAATCGGCCTTGGCGTGTACATCA